TGCGCGGCAGTCCCAGCGTCAACCTGCTGATGCGTGCGCATGATCCCCTGGCGACCTGCAGAAGTGAGCGCTGGCTGGCGTTGCATATGGCGATGTTGCTTGCGGTGTTGCCGGTGCTGCGTGTGCTTGTTGTCCTCGCGGTTGCTGGACTGGCGGTTGCCGTAGCGCTGCGGTGGCCCTGCACCTTCTGCCGTCGGTCGCCCACCAGGTAAGGGAAGTAGTGCTATAGAACTTCCAACACCTCTGCAGCTGGAACAGTCAGGAGCGTCACCACGGTTCCTCACCATCACCCTCACCATCACCCTCACCATCATCATCGCCATCATCGACACAATCACCCTCACCGTCATCACCATCATCATCATCATCATCACCATCATCATCACCAGCATCATCATCATCGTCATCATCATTGTCATCACAACCATTATCATCAGCAGCATCGCCATCACCATTACCACCATTATTATCACCATAATGATATTATACGAACGTTAATAAAATAAGAGTACACGTAATAATAACAGTAGCGATAGTATGAATGAAAGAATGATGTTCACCATCGCCCCTGACGGGCTCACAGACTTAGAACCTGCACCCAAACCCCAAAGACTGCCGAGGTGTCGCCCGTGACGGCGTCAAGAGGGCCCCACGAAAGAGCGCACCACGTGCCAGGGTTCTCCGAAGACCAGAGATACAGACTGCCACACGTCAGGACCTCCGTGATCCCTCGCGCACAGAGACCACCCGGCAAGCCGGGCTGGCACGGTGGCGGGACCTGCCACGGGTCACTGGAAAGGCAACGAAAGGGGCGTTTTGCGGCCACGGCGAGCCTTGGCCACGGACGGGCTTCCCCCGCCCAGGTCCGAGGAACCGCCCAGAAGCCAGGGAGCCCCTGCTGAAACCCAATGGTGGTCATTACTTCAACATCTCGACTGTGCGGCGGATCCACGTCGTGACGACACCAGGGTTGGTTTCTGACGGCGCGCAGATGGTGCAGCCTTTTGAGCAATCGCGGCGCCCCGATCGCGCAGATCGCTCGATGTCGGCCGACTCTGGGCCGCGGGCGGCGTTCAACATTGAACGCCCGCTGGGGCCGCCGCCGCGTCGACACGGCGCGAGAACCTGTCATACACGGGAAACTACCGCAAGCGCGCATGGCCGCCCAAATGAAGCCCCCGCCCGTGCGAAAATCTGATGGCTGTGGAGCCCTCGTGGGAGGCTTCCGGAGCGATCTGTCCTCCTGCGGCAGGTTTGTGTTACGACGACGCCACAGTTGGTTTATGGCACCTCGCGGATCGATCAACCTTGGTGAGAAAGCAATTATCGTGTTGGGAGGAAGGGGTTGGGAAGATAAAGGGCACGACTGTGTAATGAACACCTTCAACATATGCGGTACTGTTGCTGACATGATCAATTATCCCGACCGCGTCCTCACGACCTGAAAACTAACCGCATGCCGATGAGAATAAAGTACCCCCCCCCCTTAAGTCGTTAGAGTTTTTTATCGTCGACCAATAAGAGTTTGGTCGGGGGCGCGGGGGCGCGGAGGCCGAACTTCATTATCACGGGAAAAGTTCGCCATCGAAGTTACTTCCTTCTTATGTTGAGATAACAACATCAAGCGAAGCGAACACGTTGTTTCAGGATGTCTCAAGCGAAACCAATGTCCTTCTGTCTCTTTGTAGTTCTTTATGTCTCTCTTTATTTCTTTCTCTGTCTCTCTTTCTCTCTCTCTCTCTCTCTCTCTCTGTCTCTCTATCTCTTTCTCCTGCCTGGCCTCTCTGTCTCTCTCTCTCTCTCTGTCTCTCTATCTCTTTCTCCTCCTCCTCCCCCTGGCGCCCTGAACTTGTTTATCGCTGGGGTTGATAATCCAGGGAAAACGAGGCACGTGAGCTACCCTACACGAGCACTTAAAAATTTTAATTGTCATAAAGCGCTTGTAAATAAAATTTAAGACATTTGAATCTTCAGATTTTTTGTTTTATCTTCCTTTCCTCTTCTCTTTATCCTTTTTCATGGTTCATTCTACTTTTCTTTTTAAATATATCTTCTCTATTTAAGTCCTTCCTTTCTTTTTCTTTATGATGTATCTCTCTTTCTCTCTCTCTCTCTCTCTCTTTCTCTCTCTCTCTCTCTCTCTCTCTCTCTCCATGCCCCCCCCTTCTGAACTGTTTTATCCCTGGGGTTGATTATCCATGGAAAATGAAGCACATGAGCTACCCTACACGAGCACTTAAAAACTTTAATTTTCATTAAGCGCTTGTAACTAAAATCTAATACATTTGAACTTGAGATGTTTCCTTCTCTTTCTCCTCCTCCTCTGTTTTCTTTTCTTTTTGATGTTTTCCTTTTTCTTTTTCATGTCTTATTGTTTCTTTGTATGTTTGTTGTTGTATATCGTTTTCTCCATTCCTCCGCCCGCCTGAAGTTTATTATCGCCGCGGTTGATTTTCCAGGGACACCGAGGCGGATGAGCTATTCCGAGGATGTCTCAAGCGAAACAAGCATATACTCGAGGATGTCTCAAGCGAAACAAGCATATTCTGAAGGATGTCTCAAGCGAAACGATACGTTTCTTAAGCGAAATAAGCAATAGTTTGACGGTGTCTCAAGCGAAAAACAAGGGATTTGTCGAGGATGTCTCCAGCGAGATAAGCCATTGTTGAGGATATTTCTATGAAGACTAAACGCCAAGGATGTCTCAAAACGTGCTCGGCTTGGTCTCCTCTTGATCATCTCTTACTTCGAGATTATGCTGAGGTCTGGTGGGCTACTTTGATTATCTCCCCCTGAACCCCGAACTTTATTATCCCCTAGTGTTTATTATCGAAGGTATTCGGTTATCGATCAACCTTCAACGATCGGCAACTCCTCGATAGTCAGATCTTTCAAAATCGGCCGACCCCGGGACCACTGGCGGCGTTCAACCTTTGCCTGTCACACACGGGAGACGAGCGCACATGCGTGTGGCCTCCGAGAGAAGCAACTACGCCGCTGAAAAAAAATATACACGGACACCTCCCGATGAAGTTTGCATGCGCCGTCAGTGAAGGCGGCGGTCTATGAAGCCGCTGGTTCCCAGTGGTGACTTATACACCGCCGCCCTCCCCTCTGGGCCAGGAATCGTCCACTGGAGGGCGCATGTGCGTGTATATATGCCTGTGGCGGAGCAGCACCGCCCCTGCGAAGGCCTGACGCCGGTGAAGTCGGCGTGGAAGGCTTCTCGAGCGACCGACCTTCCCCCACGATACAACAATTGACGATCTCAAACCTGTGATGTATGTGATAGCTTGCTTCGCAGGCGCTCTGTAGTGAGCTTTCGCCGGCCTCGCCGGCTCGTCAGACGGCCTGAACAAAAACAGCTATGGCACGGCCCTCCCTCTTGCCAGCACGCGCGCGCAGGAGCTTCTCGAGCGACCAAGCTTCCCCCGGGCCTGCGTGACTCTGGCCCTGACATCCGCCGATGTGACGCGTGTGACTCCGGTCGGAAGCTAGCTTCCGACCCTTTCCCTGGGAGGGCTTCTTCGTCCCGGATCCGTTTTCGATGGCCACGGGGCCGGATAGCGTGCCCCAGCGGCCGAAATAAAGGAAAATCAAAAGGATTGACTAAATATCCTGGCGAAGGACCCAACCATATGCAGTTGTGGGTACCGCCGTTGTGAAAAAAAAAGCCCTCGGTGGAGCTCTCATTGGGGCAAGGAAGCGCGTGAAGGGAGCGCCGGTATGGGGCGGGGCCGCCACACGGGCGCTGCCGCTGGGGCCGCCCGCAGGGGGAGCGGAGGTCAGACGAAACGGGTTGCATGCTGATGAAGATCGTTGCGGCTGACAGGCGCCAGGAGAAGCGGGAGAAGACACGCGGGCGCGGCATGCGAACGCAGCCACTGGGGCCTTCGGTAGAGCTCTCTATGGAGCCACGAAACGTGTGAAGGGTTGTGCCAAAATGAGGGGAGTGGCGGTATGCAAACGCAGCCACTGGGGCCTTCGGTGAAGCTCCCTATGGGGACACGAAACGTGTGATGTGAAGGGTGTGCCAAAGTGAGGGGGGGGCGGCATGCGAACGCACCCATTGGGGCATTCGGTAGCGCTCCCTCTGGGGGCACGAAACGTGTGAGTGGTGTGCCGAAGTGAGGGGGGTGGCGGCATGCGAGCGCAGCCACTGTGGCCTTCGGTGGAGCTCCCTATGGGGCCACGAAACGTGTGAACGGTGTGCCAAAGCGAGGAGGGTGGCCCCCTATGGGTACACGAAACGTGTGAGGGGTGTGCCAGGGTGAGGAGGGTGGCGGCATGCGAATGCAGCCACTGGGGTCTTCAGTGGAGCTCCCTATGTGAACACGAAGCGTGTGAATAGTCTGGTGACATAGGTGGAGCTCCCTGTAGGGCCACGAAACGTGTGAGGAGTATGCCAAAGTGAAGGGAGTGGCGGCATGCGAACGCAGCCAATGGCGCCTTAAGTGGAGCTCCCTATGGGGCCACGAAACGACTGAGAGGTGTGCCAAGGTGAGGGGGGCGGCGGCAGCGAACGCAGCCACTGATGCCTCACAAAACGTGTGAGAGGTGTGCCAAAATGAGGGGGGTGGCGGCATGCGAACGCAGCCGCTGGGGCCTTCGGTGGAGCTCCCTATGGGGCCACGAAACATGTAAGGAGTGTGCCAAAGTGAGGGGAGGGGCGGCATGCGAACACAGCCAATGGGGCCCTCGGCGGAGCTCCCTACGGGGCCACGAAACGTGTGAGGGGTGTGCCAAAGTGAGGGGGGTGACGGGAGTGCCGAGCTGGTTGACATGCGGAAGGCAAAGGCAAGGGCGGGAGGAGGGAGAAGCAAAGGTGGGGGAGGAGCGGGAGGAGGAGGAGGAGGAAGAGAGGAAGAGGAGAGGACGCGGGGACCGCCTCTTCAGGACGAGGACCCCACACCACAAAATAATTGGGAATGACTCGCTGGAAATCTGGGGGCTCTGCGCTGCACCCCCCCGCCCAGAGCAGGGCGCCCCTCCCGGCGGACACTGCACAGGAGGGCATACGCCCAGCTGACCTCTGAGAAGAAGCCGCCGGGCCTCGCCTGCGGCGGCGCGCCGGGCGTGCGCAGATGTAGGCCGCTGGCGCGCGCGCCGGCGGGCCGCGCTCTCTCCCGCGTCTCGTTCTGTGCTGAGCACTCTTTTCAGGAGGGGACAAACACACACATGCACAATGAATGGTCGACTCTCAGGAGAATGTGGGACAACATGGGAAGTGGGGGGGAAGACGAACACCAAGAGAATATTGAACGCCACCACGCAGCGGGCTGCGGTGGACAGTCACATAAACTAGGCGTCTGGTCTCTGGATAATCTTTGGCACGAGTCCGGGGAGCTTGGGGGATTGTGTGCCCATCCCCGCCAGTTGCGCCTCGCCGCAGAGCTGACGGCAGATAGGGACGATTGCACGAGCAGCACCTTGGCCGTCCTAGAGGGCGCGTTGGCCGTCGCAAACAGCCGAAAAGCCCCAGGTTTGTCAAACCTCAAAACACGCAAAGCTGTCGCCCAGCTCGAACGACTAACAACTGCAGGCCGTGGACCAGACGTCTTCAGCGGCCGCACAGCACGTGAGCGCAATCGCGCCCGTCTGCCGTCTGCGCCAAAGACAGAGTTCGTGGACGCTTGTTTGGAACAATCCATGGACACATCGGGACCGTCTTCCCCCAGCGTCGCGATTACTCCCCATATCCTAAGATGGGGTTCTTGTTATTACCCGGACGCCGCCGACTCCAGCGATAACACACCTATTCATACACAGACTTACTCATACTCACACCTACTCATAATCATACCTTCTCATAGTCTGACTTACTCAACACACAACATGCAGGCCTACTCATTCTCAGACTTACTCATGCTGGGACTCCTTCATACCCAGACTTACTCATACCCAGACTCGTTCCCAGACCTGCTCATATACAGACTTACGCATACTCAGACCTATATATGCTCAGAACTTCTCCTTGTCTGAGTTACTCAACGCACGGACTGAGACCTATTCATACTCAGACCTAATCATACTCAGACTCGCAAGGGGAGCCGCCAGGGGTGTTTCCACGGACCCGTTCGCGGCCAGTTTGTGGGGATGTCTCAAGCGGTTTGCTCGTTTTCATGCCCAACATCCTCGGCTTGCAAAGCAGATTGTGAGGATGTCTTAGGCGGGGCGCTGGTTTCAGCACCCCCAAAGGGAGCCGCCAGTGGTGTTTTCACGGGCCCGTTCGCGGCCAGTTTGTGGGGATGTCTCAAGCGGTTTGCTCGTGCTCATGCCCAAAATCCTTGGCTTTCAGAACAGATTTTGAGGATGTCTCAAGCGGGGCGCTGGTCTCAGCACCCCTAAGGGGAGCCGCCAGGGGTGTTTTCACGGGCACGTTCGCGGCCAGTTTGTGAGGATGTCTCAAGCTCGTTCTCATGCCCAACATCCTTGGTTTTCAAAGCAGATTGTGAGGATGTCTCAGGCGGGGCCCTGGTTTCAGCACCCCCAAAGGGAGCCGCAATTGGGTGTTTTCACGGGCCCGTTCGCGGCCAGTTTGTGGGGATGTATCAAGCGGTTTGCTTGTTTTCATGCCCAACGTCCTTGGCTTTCAAAGCAGATTTTGAGGATGTCAGGCGGGGCGCTGGTTTCAGCACCCTTAGAAGGGGCCGCCAGGGGTAGGACACGGGCCCGTTCGCGGCCAGTTCGTGGGGATGTCTCAGGCGGTTTGCTCGTTTTCATGCTGCGAACAAGGAGATGAGGCGTGCTGCTCCCTTGGGTCGTGCTCCGGCACGTACCCTCTGGGACACACGAAGGAAGGAGTCGCCGCGTGCTGGTCCCTTGGGTCGTGCTCCGGCACGTACCCTCTGGGACGCACGGAAGAAGGAGTCGAGGCGTGCTGGTCCCTTGGGTCGTGCTCCAGCACGTACCCTCTGGGACGCACGGAAGAAAGAGTCGAGGGGTGCTGATCCTTTGGGTCGTGTTCCGGCACGTACCGTCTGGGACGCACGGAGGAAGGAGACGAAGCGTGCTGGTCCCTTGGGTCGTGCTCCGGCACGTACCCTCTGGGACGCACGGAGGAAGGAGATGAGGGAGGATGCGTGCTGGTCCCTTGGGTCGTGTTCCGTCACGTACCCTGTGGGACGCACGGGTGGATGCATGTGGGTCATGTTAATGAATGCGTGCACGTGGTGGATGTGCAGCCGCGCTGCGCGCACGTGTGCTCGCCGCTCACATGGACGCGTTCGTGGAGCAAACAACTATCATGGACAAATGCTTCCCGTGGCACTACCCTACAACATGATATGCACATATGTCCTTGTGTGACTAAACGCTCGTTCAAAATATCCCACGGCCAACTATCCTAAAACATATGCACATTTCCACAGGCTGAGGAGGGCACGGCCTGGCAGCTGAGGAGGGGGAATGAATGAGAGGCTCATACTCAATCATACTCAAAGCTCACTCTGACTCATACCCACTCACTCGCATTAGGATTCACTCGTTTTCGTCGGCCCTGTCACCCGCGTGGACGCGCTATCATAGTCAAACGCTCATGAACATACGATCACTATGGCATGACATAAAACATGAGATGCCAATATGGGGAGGTCCACGCAATGAGTAATTACTGAAAAGCGGAACCCAGCAAAGTGAGATAAACTGAGCGATATTGCTTATGCACATACTTCTGCTCTTCGAACTGACCCCGCGAGCCCGCCCGGACGCGGGTTCGGGACGGTGCCGCCATCGCCTGAAGCGCGTCTTCGAGCGCAGTCGCCTGGCAAGGCCGAGCTTGACGAGGGGGCGGTTTTTCGAAGGCTTCGCCGCCGCCGCCGACACCGTCGTCGATTTCGCCGTCGTCGTCGTCGCCGAGGCCGAAGACCGAAGACGAAGACGAAGAGGAGGATAAGGATGTGGAGGAGGAAGAGGGGGACGGGGAGGAGGAGGGCGGGGAGGAGGAAGACGAGAAAGTTTCGCGCGTCTGGGCGGCAGTTGGTCAGCACGCACGCTCTATGGCCTACTGTCGGGTGCCGATGCCAGCAGCGCTTTGAGAAACAACGCCTTCACCTGAGGAGGAGGAGGAGGAAGAGAGGGAGGAAGAGGAAGAGGAAGAGGAGGAGGAAGAGGGGGGGAAGAGGAGGAGGAGGAAAAGAAGGAGGAGGAGGAGGAGGAGTGGGAGGAGGAGGAGGAGGAGGAGGAGGAGGAGGAGGAGGAGGAGGTGGAGAGGAGAGAAAGGAGTGGGAGAAGGAAACAGGGGGAGGGACCAGGAGGGGGGAGAAGGGAGGCCGGATCTGGTGGTCCACCAATAATCAGACTGGAGGCTCTCGCTCATGTCAGGAGAGCGACTGCTTCAAAAAGCCATGCCAGACATGCCCCTGGCGGAGTTCTATGCGCCCAATCGTTCGCCCAAAACGAAGGGAAAGGAGGGATGAAGGACGGAGGAGGAAGGAAGGAGCACGGAGGAGGACGGGGAGAGGAAGGGGAAGGAAGGGGAAACGAAGGGAGGAAGGGGAAAGGAAGGAGAAGGAACATGGAAGGGAAAAGGAAGGTGAAGGAGCACGGACGGGAGTTAGGGGAAAAGAGGGATGAAGGACGGAGGAGGAAGGGAGGAGCACGGCAACAGCTGATGGCGCAACCACATTCCCCATGCACTGCAAGAGCTCAAACGAATATAAAGGCCTTCGTAACCCGCTGACGGCTCGCAAGCCGCACCCTGCCTGCGCTCGATCGCGAGGGCGCACAGATCAGGAAAGCCGCCCAATGCCAGCGCCCTCTCCAGGTCCACCCCGAGGAAGAGGAGGAGGAGGAGGAGGAGGAGGAGGAGGAGGAGTCTGGGTACACTGACGAAAGGAAGAGGGCAGACGCATCACGAGCAAGAGACGAGAAGAGGGCAAGAATGTGACTCCACTCTCTCCCACTCGCGCCGAACGCCTCCACCTATGGATGTATCTTGTGGTAGCGCTGGTCGCTGCGACCAGAGCCGGGGAGCGTGCGCCTGTAAACTTCGTTGTGTTCGTCTGAGAGTCATGCATCGGGTACGCTGTCGCAAGAGTGGGAAAAGGCGGGATCGAGGGCAGAGCAGAGGCGGAAGGGGGGAAAGGATGGATCTAGGCCTGCGCAGGCATGTGGGCAGCTCAGCTCAGAACTAGAGTGCGGAAGATCAGGAGCATGGTGTAGGACGCCACTGGTGTCGACGTCGCCACCGTCAGCGGCGCTGAGAACGTGAACAGGTACGTGAACAGGATTACGTTGAAGCTCCTCAGAGGTGCATACAAGCTCGTCTACCAGGCTTTCAAGAGCTACGCTGCAGCAGCGGAGCGGAACGAGGTCCGAACGGCACAAGTACGGAGCGCCAGGAACAGCCCATTCGGGGCGAGCAGGTCGTTCGCCACCAACGGCAGCAGCAGGAGCGTCTTCATGCAGTCGTTCGCCACCAGCAGCAGCGAAATCGTGAGCAGGGGGATCCAGGGATACTGCGTGATGCAGAAAATCTTCATGCACTCGTTCGCCACCAGCGGCAGCATCAGGAGCGTCTTCATGCCCTCGTTCGCCACCAGCACCAGCACCATCGTGAGCAGGGGCAGCGGGAGATACTTCGTAAAGCTGCACGCCCTCACGCACTCGTTTACCACCAGCGGCAGCCTTAGGCACAACTTTATGCAATCGTTCGCCACCAGCGGCAGCTTCATCGTGAGCAGGGGCATCGGGAGAGACTTCGTGAGGCAGGAAGTCTTCAAGCACTCTTTCGCCACCGGCGGCAGCAGCAGGTATGTCTTCATGCGCTCGTTCGCCACCAGCGGCAGCGTCATCGTGAGCAGGGGCAAAGGGGAGACTTCGTGAGGCTGTGCGTCTTCATGCGCTCGCACGCCACCAGCGGCAGCAGCAGGAACGTCTTCATGCACTCGTTCGCCACCAGCATGGACGTCACCAGCGGCAGCGTGAGGAAGCTCGAGAACGTCAGCGAGGGCACCATCGGCATCGCTCTCATGACAGACGTCAGACGTCCACGGGGATTTGAGAAATTGGTCAAATAGGTCGCCACCCTCGGCGGCAGCTTCACGTAGTTTTGCAACGACCAGGGCAAGCGGTAGAGCAGCAGGACCATGAGGCACTGCAGGAGCAGGAGCGAGAAGCGAGACTTGATGAAGACGCTGTTCACCACCAGCGGCGGCAGCAGCGGGACCATGCAGAAGAGCATAATGAGCGCCACCATCGATGGCGAGCCGCCGAACTTCAGAACGTGCAGGTAGAATGGTACGAAGGTCGCCACCAGCGAGAGCATCACAAGCGTCATCGACGGCGCAGCCGGCGGGCTCCCCAGGAACAGGACGTGGAAGCGGACCAGCACTTCGTTGTAGAGTCCGATGACCTACTCCAGCATCGATGGCAAGAGGTGGAAGTGGTCCAGCGCCGTGCCGAGGAGGACCGCGGGGACCCTCGTGGTCAGGCTCGTGGACGCGAAGGTGCTGGATGAAGCTTGCGACACGGTGCATGTTGTCGCCCATGCAGACTCCCAGCGGTGATAGCGGAAGCCGATATCCTTGAGGGGTAGCGGGAGCAGGTGGTAGGAAAGCCTGTAGAGAAGAGGAATGCGTCGCGGGCGTCGGAGGAGTCCCAGTTGTAGCGCACGGCATTCGCGGGTGCAGGTCCTGGCCGCCGAACGGTAGTGCGGCATCTTGTCCCGGCTGACGGCCACCACCAGGAGCGTAACGAGCTGCGCGATCGGGATCACCCGAGCGTGCGAGAGCATGGACATATGGAACCGCGGGCCTCGGATGCGGGCGGCGCGGCGCTCGGCCAGGTGGCCTCGGGCGAGACGGCTACGGTGACCATTTCGGCCAAGTCCGAGTCCCCGAGGCTTGTCCCCCCACATGCTGTCACCAGCGAGAGTGGACGAAGAGCGGACGCTGGCCGGGCTGCACATGCCAGAGCAGACAACCTTGAGGTTCGCGCCAGACAGAGCCCCCGGCAGGCATGGAGGCCAGCCCGGAGTCCGGCCAGCACCCGTGCCCACAGGCAGTCTGGCGGCAACCGTCGCCATCACCAGCCCTCCGCCAGCCTCCGGCCAGCACCTCCACCTCCTCCTCCTCCCCGACCCCTCCCGACGCCCTCCTCCTCCTCCCCCACCGCTCTCTCCCTTACCTCCAGCCTCCTCCTCCTCCTCCCCCCCCCCCCCTCCCTCCGCCTGCCCGCCCTCCCGCCCCCTCCCTCCCCTCCTCCCTCCCTCCGCCCTCCCGCCCCCCTCCCGCCCTCCCTCCCTCCCCTCCCTCCCTCCTCCCCCTCCCGCCCTCATCCTCCCTCCTCCCTCCTCCCTCCTCCCTCCTCCTTCCTCCTCTCTCCCTCCTTCCTCCTCCCTCCTCCCCATCGACTTCGCTCGGCGATCTGGTCGTCGTCGTGTCGTTCCTGAGTTGGAGCGTTTCGGGTTCGGGCCATCTCAGAGGAATTCGGAACCCTCGATCGCCACCTCGGGTGTGTCCCCTGCCCCTGGGCCGGTTGTGCTACGGACTGATCCGTGGGAGGAGGACCCCGAGATCGAGGCAGTCGAGGAACAGGCGCACATTGACCTTATGTGTGCCGAGGCAGTGAATTTCTCTGCCCTGTCTGGGCTTTCCCACCCTTCTCCTCCTCCTCCTCCTCCTCCCCCCCTCACTGAGGAGCAGCTCGATCGCATCCGAGCGAATCGAGAGCAGGCGCGCGAGCGCAGGCAGGCCAGGCTTCGAGCCGCCCACGCCGCCCGCGCGCCGTGGGCCGCTCAAGGTGGTGTACTACGAGGCGGGATCTTCTCTTCCGCCTCCACCTCCCATCCTCCTGGGGTCCTTGGATGGGAGTCAGATTTGCCTTTTTAGGCTCTGTCCAGTTGTTTCAGTGGCGTAGCTTTAGATTCCTTTTCGGTCTCGTGTGCTGCTGCTGCTGCCTGGCAAAGAGTCGCGGAGTGCGCACGCGCGAAGTCCCTCGGCTAACAACAACCTCCCCATCGCCGTCGTTGTGGCGCTGACATCGCCGCCTGGCCTCCCACTGGTTCCTGCCAGACTCCAGCAGCGACGGCAGCAGGCTGCGGACGTAGCCCCAGGCGAAGGCGGCCGCGAAGAGCACCCCGCTGGCGAGGGGGAGCAGTGCCATCGGGAGGGGGGGGGAGACGAGGAGCGGGAGGGGAAGCTAGATCGCATTCCTTAATCGGTCTACACCCCTTGCGTCTACCTCTCTCGCTATCTAGACGCAAGTATGAATAGATGCAGACATGTGGCTATACACACATGCATATAGATGTGTACACATATTTACAGGCATGCATACCTGCGTACATACATACATACAGTCATGCATGCATACATACATATTTGCATACATACACACATACATACACACACATACCTGCATACATGCATGCATACACACAAACATGCATACATACAGCAATACATACATACAAACATGCATACCTGCAGACAGACAGGCAGACGGGCAGACAGCCACACACACACACAGAGACGCACAGATGCACAGATATACATACATACGTATGTGCATGCATACATGCATGCACGCATGCATGCATACATGCATACATGCATACATGCAATAATACATGCATACAAACACATACACGTGCACAGACATGCATACACACATACACGCATACAAACAACCCAAAAACATGCATAGATGCATGCATGCATACAAACATACAACTATAGACGCCTCTTCGTATATACACACGTACATATATATAGCATGTGCATATGTGTCTATGCGTATGCTTATCTCTGTCACTCTCCCTTATATATATATATATATACATATACATTTATGCCTATAGGTCTCCCTCTCTCGATCTCTCACTGATCAGACAACGAATCGAGCCTATACTGAAACCTGAAGCATCGAAAAACAATATGACGACGTATAAAACAAACTCTCGGATAGAAGCCCTGAAGCCCGCAGGTTCCCCCCACGCATCCTGACCATGCTTCCCAGCAAGGAAACCTGAAACGAAGCGCAGCTGCGCGACGAGTGGTAAACGGTAGGGTAGCCAAGGGCCTTCCAGCCATGAAGCTTCCCCGCCTCCTCTCTCCTGTTTGCTGCCCTCCCCCTCCTCCTCTCCTGCTCCCCTCCCCCTCTCGTCTTCCTCCTCTCCCCGCCTTTCCCTCCAGCGCGGAGCGATCGGACGCCTTCCTTGGGTAAGGGGGGTATCCTGGGATTGCCCCCTGCGTGGACATCTGGCGGAGGGAAGAAAGGAGGACCCCCTTCTAGAGCATCTCGAGAGCGACTGCGGAAAACGAGGAGGGCAAGTAAAAAGAGGATGGTGAAGAGGACGAGGAAGAGGCCAGGGAGGGATGGCGATGAGTCATCATAAGAAGGACAAGGGCGGATTCCCCAGGGCAACTTGCAGGGACGATCCGGGTGCGAGCAGAAGGCTTCAGCAACTGAGCAGTCTAGCTCTCGCAAGTAAGAAGACCTCGCGCCAGGTTCATGTGTGACTGCAGGCAGACTGTCTAGCATTGGGGACCCATCGAAGGTACCATGGAATATTAAAAAATGCATATGATATAATAGAACAGAACCGAGTGGCGCACATAGAATAGCATCGACAATAATAACCTACACTTGGAATATGGCAGAAGTGACTAGAAGAAAACACCATATGGCATAAAAGAATAGAATTGGCTGACGTATAAGTGGACTTAATGGATAACCGTAACATATAATATTATAAAAATAGAATAAAAACATAATAGATCACAATAAAAAAGAAAACCATAAGATCACGCAATAGAGCAAGACAGGATATATCATAATTATACTATAGAATAGGATCGACTGTACTCGAATATCATGGAATTTAACAGAATAGAATACTAGATACTAAATGTTGGTATCACAAGCTGTTATACGATAGAAAAAGAACAGGATACGAAAACTGGAACATACTATAATAGAATGGACTCGAGTAGAAGAGCATACGCTATAACATACTAGAATCCGCCGACCCTGTCGGCGTGTGGAAGAGGCTTCTCCGTCTGTTTCCTCCTCGGCGACATTGAGCAACGTCGTAATTGAGTCGAAGGGAAGCCCCTTCCCTTTGATCCCTTCCCCGCCGGGGGGGGGGGGTCCCGGGGAGGGTCCCAGGGGGGGTCCCGGGGGGGGTCCCGGGTTTTTACGCCGCCCCCCGGGGTGGGCCCCGGGGGGGGTCCCGGGTTTTTACGCCGCCCACCCGGGGAATCCCGGAGCCCAAAAAAGTCCCAAGACGGGCCAAGAGTGCCCAGAGAGGCCACCAAGACGATCCAAGAGGGCGCCGAATCGCCGAATGATCTGTCCAAGACGCCTCGACGGCCTCCAGACGGCCCAAGAGGCCTGCGAGACGCCCCAAGAGGCCTCCAGGACCGTTCCCACGAGAGCCCCAAGAGGTACAAATCATATATTTCCCATACGTTTTTCAAGGATGTTTGGCGTTTTCGCCTCTTCCGCTTCCCCACGCGCCAAGACGGCCCAAGAGGCTCGTAAGATCGCCCCGACACGGCCCAAGATGCCTCCGAGAGGGTCTCCAAACGGCCCAAAAGTGCCCCAAGACGGCCCAAGACGCCTCCCAGACTCACAAAAGGCCCCCAAAACGGTTCCAAGAGAGCGCCCAGACGGGGGACCCGAACGGACATTTCCGGCCCTCAGCCCCGAGAAGCTCCCAAGAGGCCCTCCAGGAAGCCCACAGGGCGCAAGAGGCTCCCGAGAGGCCCCAAAAACTCTCCTAGGAAGCTACAAAACAAACTAGGAAGTTACAAAACAACCGGGTATTCCCTCCTCTTCGACCTTGTCCTCCTCCTCCCCATCACAGAACGGAGGAGGGACACTTTCCCGAGCGCGGCAAGCGCGCTCTCAACGCCTCCGACGTCCGACAGCGCCTCGCAGCCACCGTCCGATCCGCGAGGGCTGGCACGCCCAGACGACAGGGTCGTCTCCAGGGTCGGCGGCATCGGCCGTAAGGCCTTCGCAATACAATATCAAATACTTGCATAGAACAGGTTAGTACAAAAAGACTAAACAGCAACTAACATAAAATTAAGTAGTAGAATAGAATGAGCAGGAATGTAATATAAAAACATATGCTATATTATAACAGCATAGAGTCTAACGCATCGGATATCATTGTCATTCCTATTTACCCTCGCTTTCCCTGCGGTTTCGTCTGGATCTGGCGGAGGCCACGCGCGTGATCGCTGTCGTCCTCCCCTTCTCCACGCCTCCCCCCTTCGTCCGATCCTCCTGTCCCCCATCCCATCCTGGACTTCCACTCCTATTCACAGTCCTCCTACTCGTTCGCCCCCTCCTCCTCCTCCTCCTCCTCCTCCTCCTCCTCCTCCTCCTCCTCCTCCTGCTCTGAGGGCGATGCCTCCTCGCAGGGCAGCACACAATCCACCTCCCCACCCCTTCGGTGATGGCAGCGACGGCGGCCCGCGGAGAAGATTAAGGCACGCTGGGAAGTGTTGGCGAAGGAGGAAGGCAAGGTGGAGAGAGAGGGAGAGAGAGCGAGGGAGAGAGACAGAGAGAAAGAGAGAGCGAAGAAGTGACGAGAGAAGGAGATAAAGAGAAGGAGGGGGAAGAGAGAGAGAGAGAGAGCCACACACACACACACACACACACACACACACACACACACACACACACACACACACACACTCACGCACACACACACACACACACACACACACACACACACACACACACACACACACACACACACACACACACACACACACACACACACACACACACACACACACACACACGCACGCACGCACGCACGCACACACACCACACACACATACACACGCACACACACACACACACACACACACACACACACACACACACACACACACACACACACACACACACACACACACACACACACTCACACACACACGCACACACACACACACACACACACACACACACACACACACACACACACACACACACGCACACACACACACACACCCGCGCGCGCCAGCGCACACGCGCAACGCACGCGCACACGCGCAACCACCCACATACGCACACACGCACACACACTCTTTCAGCGTCCGCGCTCATGATGCACAGGTCAGCACATACCACATTCAAAGGCCATGCCAATCAGTGCAAGCGCATCCCGTCGTCGGCTGACAAGGCACGGGCCGATTCCCACGTACTGTCAGGAACGATCCGTCGCAGAGGAAGGAGGAGCAGGAGATGACGGACGAAGCACCAGAGATGCGAGGATATTGCACGCTGTCGCGAACACCAACGAAACAGGGGGAAGGCAAGGAACGAAGGCAGCCGCAGGGAGGGACGCCAACTGGAAGCATCAGCCAGCGCGGACACACACACACACACACACACACACACGCGCGCGCGCACGCACGCACGCACGCACGCACGCACGCACGCACGCACGCACGCGCGCGCGCACACACACAGACACACACACACACACACACACACACACACACACACACACACACACACACGCTTACCTTGCACGGACTCGAGGAGCGCTTACGTCGGCAAGGCTGGAACACACATACACAATAGTGAGAAACACACTCAGAAAACGTAAAAAGAGACGAATCCGGAAACGACGAAAGGAAGAGAGCGAGAGAGAGAGAGCGAGAACCACAACAGTTGACAGCGGCGGAGAGGATCAGAACAGGAGGGAGGAGGAGGAGGAGGAGGAGGAGGAGGAGGAGGAGGAGGAGGAGGAGGAGGGAGGGGGAGGAGGGGGGAGGAGGCGGAGGAGGCGGATGAGGGGGAGGAGGGGGAGCAGATAGAGGAGGAGGAGGAGAGGAGAAGTATGACGAGTAGAGTAGGAGGGGAGAGAGTAGGAGGAGGAGGGGAGGAGGGAAAGGAGGACGAGGAGGAGGAGGGAGGAGGAGGGAGGAGGGGGGGTTGGGGAGGGGATAAGGGGAGGAAAGGGAAGGAGGAGGATAAGGGCAGATCGGAGAAAGGTAGGGAGGGGGAGGAGGACGACGACGAGGAGAAGGAGGAGAAAACGTGGCGAGGCGGAGGTGGAGCAGGAGGGGGAGCAGGGAAATACTAAAGTGGAATAGCAAGAGGTAACAGGACAATGAAGAGAGG